TTGTTCATTTGTGAACGGCAGTAAGAACAGTTGTATATCCCAAAGTAACACTCGCGTACTTATCCAGCTGATGTTTATGAATCACTTTAAAGATGAAAAAATCCTCAAAGTGCACAGCATTTGCTATAATGAAAGTAACTACAGAAACACAGACATAAAATAACGCATTGCTGATTTCTTCTGTCGCGGTAAAACACAAATCATTACTGATTTATCATCAGTATATCTCTGTTTTTCTATTCAAGCACAATAACTAGGATTAAAAGCTTTCAAAACTACAAACATAGACATATTTACTAAAGAATGAAATACTGATGATGCCAGACATGCAGTTTATAGAGAAGAATACAGAAATAATATTTTCTTCTGTGTGGTTACAGAACTGGGCATCCCACAATATCTTAAGTATCATCTGTTACAGAGTGCAGAAATGAGTAATAGTGACATGTTCAAATACTTTGAAAAATAAACCATTTTTGAGAGCAGCTGCCTGAACACACCCTGAGAATCCACCCACGATGTCCTCCTACACGTGCCATGGTGTGACAGACACCAGCTTGGCCCTGGCCCCACTCCATGGCAACACTTGGAAAACCTTTGCATCACACAGGACTGGACAGAAGAAGGGTGCAGAAGAAGCATTATGAAGGAGAGCAACATTGGTACGTATCTGAGTGAAATAAAGACATTTCTGTTTACAGACCATGCTGCCAGATACCACATTTTGGCTTGAACAGAAATGAAGGTAATTCATATGGCAGAGGTTTTTAGAAAATCTTCATGGTCAACTCTCTTTGTACCAGGCTTCTGCCAGAAATGGGTCACTTATGTTCTCATACAAGCCAGCACTTAAGGAAAAAAAAATAAAACCAAAAAAGGTAAATAAACACACAAAAAAAGTACTCATCCCACTCTCCAAGTTATTTATCACTGACAGAGCTCTAATCTAATTTTAGGTGAGCTCATCTTTTTTTTCTGCCCTGGAGCCATTTTAACTTAATATTGCTCTCCTTCCAGAGCCACGAGAGAGTACAGGCTCCCTTAGCCACTGCAGATGCTGTGCTGACATTTTACTTCAGCTGTTTGCTGTAAAAGTCATCAATACCACTCGCTCCTGAAGAGACCTTTTCTAAGGAAAATGAAAACAAATTGCTGGCATTAGATCAAACTTTGACCTCTGCTGCCCAAAGTAGGGAAAAGTAAGATCTGAACTCCTTGCTGCTGCTTTGAAAGCTTCCAAAAGCTCCTCCAAGCAGGCAAACATTTTTTATTTTAATAAAACATTTTCTGAGCTGCCAGGCTGAGGCTGCCCTGCCTGTTCCTGCTGCCACATGAGCCAGCCGGCAGGTACAGGCAGCCAGCCTGGGCTCCCACCGGCCTGCCAGCATTGCGAGGTCTTTGGGGAAACCATTCCAGAAACCACCTTTTCATCTGCCTCCTTCCCATCTGTTTCCTGCTTCCCATCCTCAATATTCCTGACCTGCACTCTGTTTTGCCAGCTGTGGTGGTTTCACTGGGCTAGCAGCCAAACACAGCCCTTCACTCACTCCCCCCCAATCCAGGGGACAGGAGAGAGAACAGGGGACAAGGATAAGGAGGCTCGTAGGTTAAGAACAATTTAATAATTGAAATAAAATAAATCTTAAAATAACAATGATAGTAATATAATAATAATTATTATTAATAGCAATTAAATATGTAAATGAGTGATACCCAGTGCCATTGCTCACCACCCGCCGACAAAGCCTGGCCCGTTCCCAGGTAACGATCCCAGAGGAGCGACAATCCCGAACCGAAACCACAATCCTGGAAGAGCGAGAGCCCGAGTGAAAGCCAGAGAGAGCCAAAAGAGGAAGAGCCCCTCATTAATATACTGACCATGAAGTTATATGATATGGAATATCCTATTAGCAGAGCCAAATGCCAATTTAGCTTATTCATTTAAATATTCCTCACCCCACCTAAATCTTGCACTTGCAGACTGACAAAACACAAAGTCCTTCAACTTCCAGTGGTAAATGAAAACACTGGTATGTTAATCAGCATTTCTCTCATAACAAATCCCAGCTGAAACCAAAACACAGCACTATCCTAGCTCCTAAAAAGAAACCCAGCTCTGTCCCAGCTGAAAACCAGGACACCAGCGCTATTCTCCTTCACATCTTCATTTTCCTGCCCCTCTTTATCCCTGGCTCCTGTACAACCTGCTCAGGTGCTGATCTGAAGCTAAGTCTGCATGGGAAGGGAAACTGCAGTCTGAAATACTCACTTGTTGATGGCTAATTTCCAGTCATGTACAAGTTTCTAGGAAGAGTTAAATACTTTTTGTCTGGTTTTTGTGTTGTTTATTGCTGTTTTGTTGTCTGTTTGTTTTTTTTAAACTGGTTTCTGAAGGAAAAATAAGTGTAATTACCCTGACAGTTTTCCTCCAATAACTGTCAGAGTAACTTTTTGAGCTCATCATCTAATTTCTATCGTGTTTGACACAGAGATGGAAGCTGCAAAGACATAACACTTCTAAAGTTTCATAAAAACCAGTGGTTCAAAAGAGGAGAGGCAGGCCCCAGCTCAGCTGCCCTGCTGCCAAAGGGCTGCAGCAGGCACTGGCCTTTATTTGCTCTGTGTAGGTGCCACCAGTCAATCTGCTGCGGTGCCAATTCACTGTCTCCTGCCCAGCAAGCAGCTACTGGGCATTGAAGAGGAGCCAAAAGAGATGATGATTTTGCAGGTGGACTGAGACCACAGGGCACACAAGGAGCAAAATGTATGTGTTGATGGGAAGAAAAGCAGATGAAGCGACACTGGGCATGAAACCACCTGAAACCATCCCTGAATCATTTGGTTTTTTGGTGTCTCAGTGCTTACAGGGATTCTCCTGAAATAAATCTGTAGCTAATATACTTTCCTATACTTTAATTTCTCTTTTAATTCAAATTATGAAAGCTAGTTACTTTCCAAATGCAAGGGATGCAATGGAACATAAAAAAATTTGAATGCTCCTTACAATGCTCCATCTCCAAGAAAAGACCTGTAGAAAACTGCAAGCTGCTTCCTGGCATGCCTATCACATGCTCTGACAATGACTATGGGAAAGGATGTATCTGAGCCCAAAGGGATAAACCAGCTTGAGGAATCTGTTCTCAGCCAAGTCTTAAGATCTGAAAATAGCTAAATGCTTAAAATCATTGCCACAGCAGGGAGTCTAAACTGTAGTCACAATGTTTTCATTTTTTAAACCAGAGATAAGAATAATGTTTCCAACTGAGCAGGCAGCTGAAAGAGTGAATTGCAGGAAAAGACTGACACGCTAGAGATTTTATACAAACTCCTTGACTCATGTTTTCCAAACATGTAAGGAAAATGATGCAGTAAACACAGAAACAAAATTAGCATTTGCATCTCTGCATTGTCTGTACTCGAACATAACAGCTCCTGTGCTACAATATATTTTTAAAATTAGGATTTCCTCAGGATCAAATAGCTAGATCTTCTCCAGAAGAACATCACTCAAGTGCTTCAGACTCTCTCTTATGCACTTCATTTACCCTAATGTCCACTATGCTACGGATGTAGCATTAAACTGATAAATATGATTTTATAACAACACAGTAGACCCAGATAATGTCATCTAAGTTGATTTGCACTTAAGTTCAGAGACCCACTATATAGAGATAATAAATACAGTACCAGCCTGTCAGGCAGGAGAAGTTAGAAGAGACAGATGACCTTTGTGCAATATCTCATCCCTTTCTCTCTCAGAAACGTAAAAATACAAAAATAAAAAGTTAGGAAAGCAAACGCAGTCAGGCACCGTGACACTGACCAAAACAACACTTGTTTTATTAGAACATAGAACAAGTTATTTAAAAAAATAAATGAATAATCAACTGTTTAGTTATAGCTGTGTTTAATGTGTCTTTGTTTCCCTGAGCACCTGTGAGAGCGTGAACAAAACTGCCAGCAGTCACACTACAAAGACAGGCTGATGGTTGGATGACCCCATAAGTCTTGTTCACGTCTCACATCTGGGCACTTGACTTGCATCTTAAAAGACTTTCATATCAATGCCTCTGCAGGGAACCTGCTTTGCCATTCAGGAGAGTTTCCGCCAAACCCAGACAGAAAGATGAATGCTTTGTCCTACCTGGCACGTCTGTAATTGCAAGCCCTACTGGGAAACGACACCCCCCACATACCTCGGAGTTACTGTTTGAGACACCCTATGAGGGGAGGCGTGCGCTAGAGAAACACACTATCAACTTAAAAAAAACCACCCAAACCCAAAACAACAAAAAACTTCCAAAACCAGCGCTGTTTATTCCCTTGAAATGCGAGGATCCTTTCACGAACACAACCCCTGCTTTCCCCCGGCGTGCACCAGCTCAACTCTGTCTACATCCCTCTTACTCTGGTGTCATCAGGAGTGGCATGACACAGCAGGAAAAGAGACCGGTTCACTGTGAGACCTGCTACTCACTCTCTTACAGTGTAACGGCCCCCCTTCCAGCCGCACGTCGCTGCGGTGAGCTGGTCCCGACGGGCACCAACCACATGGACCACCTCACCGCTCCTTGGGCTTGGGCAGAGCAGAAGTGGTGGAGCACAACCAGCATCACTACAAACCTGTCCACCTTGTAGAGTCTTACAAATGTCTGGGGAGTTTGCATGATGAAGGACAAACTGCAATGGTTAGCTTGAACGTGCAATGTGATTGCTCATTCCAGTTCCCTCCCGTCTCTCCCTCTGCCCTGCCACGTGGAACATGGGACACTGAGGACACAGCACTGCGTGCAGGACAGCAAGGGTGGAGAATGCAACATCC